TAACTTGAAATATATGTTTATATTGTGAATGCAATCCATTTGTATACATACTTACCTCTGTTTTCACTTGAGTAAAACAGACTTATGCCAAGGGCAAAGAGAACAAGTACAGGAAATGAATTAAAGGCATCTTTGGGGAAAGAATGAAACAGTAAATAGACTGGAACTAGTCATATTGCCATATTAGTGAAAAAGACTTAAAATTAGTATGGATGTTTATAATTGTATGTGCTTATGTACTTGTTTGTATACCAATTGTTATCAAACATTTTCTCATTTTATTATAATGAGAAATATTTAATATGGTGTGACAAACTTGGTGTCATTCATAAATAATAAAATATATTTACAATAAAAAAAATTTAAATTGTAATTGACTGAAGTGAAAAATATTTTTTATATTATATATATTTGACCAGTAGACTCTGTCACACATGACATCTTCAATCGTTAGCACAGAAAATATGACAAAATTAGGTTAAAATACAAACTACACAAGTAACAATGTATTTTCTAAGTAGCCAACAGTATAACCAACATGATTTTCATATCTTGTTTCCTAAGATTTTTCCATTTCATGTTTCATCAATTCGTGGTTAAATGTCAACCACCCACACAGAAAAAATAAGATGGCAGAACAGCCTGCATTTACAAAAGGAAAATGAATACTAGATTTCATTCTAAACTGTGTCTGAAAACACAAACCCTCAGAGCAATCTAAGAAAATCACTTGAAATGTTGTTACAAGCAATTATTAAACAATTCTTTGCTTATTTTGAACAGATTGATCATACAATCCCCTGGACTCAACAGTCAAATGTATCTCAAAGCTAAGACTGTACAATGTTAAATGTAAGTGATATATAGTCAATTATATAAGGAATCAAACGTAGCCAGCTCTATATTAACATCAACAGACACAAGGGAGACGATTTCACACCACCCACCTTCAACAACCCACCACCATCCAGAGCTAGCAGTCTACTTCATCCACTCCTTACATGAACATCTGTATTTCTGTCCAAATAATACAGTAACAAAAAAGAAAACGAAATTCTGCCACACTTCCAGCTTGAGTGATCTTAAATAGTATGTACAAGTGGACATACATGGATAAGAAGGTTTGTTTGGAAGTTTTTGTTGCATATTCACATATATTTGTTACATAACCTGGCTGGTAGGATGATCAATCTTGACTTTGAAAAAGTGCCATCGTTTTAATCTTCAAAAACATCTGTTTTAGAAAAAAAAAAGCAAAATAGATCACTTATTTAATAATATTTATCTTCGAAGCACTGCTTATGTTTTCCATCTCTTAAATTTCTCATTGCGTTCAGCAGGGGGCAGATCTGTGAAAAGTAGTATTTTTTTTATTATTAAATTTTCTCTATTGGAATTTTTTAAAAGTAGAAATAGTTAAATATGAAAGTGTTTTAAGTGTCATCAGTTGTGCTTCATGGGCAGAGCTCAGCACTCTTGGATTCTTTGATTGGTGGAATTTTCTGCACAGCATTATGGGTAATGTAGTTTTCACCATGAATTTTACTGTTAAATTATTTTAAAAACAATTTGATATAATGCAAACAGATGGCTTCAACAAAAGCATATCGATTAACAACCAGTAGCTCACAGTAGGTCTGTCTTTAAAGGTTTATAAGTTATTGTTAAAAATCCATTTACCTATGGAGAAAATAAAGGTTTTTACTTCCAGGACCCAACTGCTGCACTCTATTACAACCAGTATTGCCTTAACAACGGCTGTTCAGTAATGTTAGCAAGCATACTACATAACAATCAAACACTTTAAAGCATGAAGTAAACTGAATTGTGTGCCGCTGAATTGAGTAGGAAGTGGGAATACTTTTCTCCAGAGTAATACACTCCCTGAACAGCCCTTGAATCTTTCAATTGTGATAATTTAATTAAGAATGAAGAAGATGGGCCTTAAAGCAATTAAAGTTTTTTTGTTGTTGTTTTTTTTTTAATAAAAGAAAATGCTTTCTCACAACAAGAAGATCAATCTTTATGTAATAAATTATTTAAAATGAAAACATGATCACTTAAACTTCCAGACACTGATCAAAGACTACCCTGGGAAAATCTTAAAGAGTCTGATTTATAAACAACTATGGGCTACCAATGAAAAGATTTTAGGTCATTCAGACCAAAACGAATAATAAGTGACCCTTCAAGCACCCAAGTTTGAATTTCCATGTATAGGGTCACCTTTATTTAAAATCTATATTTCAGTTCAATCTCCGGCTGAGCTTTGGAAATTCCACGAACAGATATCAGATGTCATTGCCAATATTGGCTCCAAAACTGTATTGATGAGGCTGTGCCATTCACCGATGCTCTGCTGAAATGTAGATTACATAAGCATGACGAGATTAAAGGCCTTTGGCACTGCAGCACATCAATATATGAAATTAGCTAATGTTTATTCTCATTCAGAGTACATGCTTGTTATTATTTACCAAAAAATAACACCATAGATCATACAATGTGTCCAATATACTTTACTCTCAGTGGTCAAAAAAAATATTGTTATCGCAATGAATTAAGAATGAATATATATTATATATAACAAATAATTGTATTATATATTATATTATATAGGCTATGCATGCATGTGTGTGTTTGCTATATATTTCAGTGTGGGCATGTACTATATTTTAATACATAATGCACAAAAATATATTCACGCCATAATGAAGCATTATAAAATCGTAATTTTTGAATTCATACATTCCTATGCATACTAAAGAGGAAGGCGTTCATGAGCATGAATAACTGCCCTTACATTCTGCCCTAGCTGTCCTCATAAAAACGGTGATACAACGATCATAATCCGAGCTGCCAATTCCTACGGTACGTTTCGCTATTTACAAGCAACTTACCCCATGTTGCCGTTTTTCCCTCCTGAGACGAAAAGCGATTTGTTGATCACCGAGTTTCTTCTTCCTGCTGAATGTAACGGCTTTGGATGCGTTGCGCGCGGTCAGTCACATTATGAGCAGCGGCATTCTGCGTCTCTCATTACGCGCTCTGTATGTAGGCTGTCAGACGCACTGAATGAATCCCACGGCGAATTACCCACTAATACTGCCCAATTTCAGCTAGTTTGGCACACGATGGGCTCACCTCGCATCTCTGCGATTCGAAAATGCGCCTGTATGGTAATTCTGGAGAGCGCGAGGTAACGGTGAGTAAAGAACCGCTGCCTCGCTCTCAGTGGGCGTGTGGATCTAAAGATGAATCTACTGTCAGTCGCTGGTCATAACACATACCACACAATATCCCACAACAACGCCCCCTGGCACACTCTTCTCCCATTAAAAAAACACTTGCCACTTTTTCATCATAGCATTTTACAGCGATCATCGTCATAATTCACATTCGTAACAATAATTATCCTATCATTGTCACCATTTTATGAAAATGTAAATAAAACTTTTTAACAATGACAATCTCCTCAGTGTAGTTAAAACTATCAAAACATCTTATGAGAAATGAAGAATTAACCTTTCATTTCTAACACTTCGATGTTTACTCCAAAATGTAACAAGGGTACACCTTTTAAATTGTGTTTTTTAATCTAGGGATCTAGATTTTTATTTTTATTTTTTTCAATTTAAAGAGCTAATTACTGAGCTGTTACAGTGGTTTACCACAGTACAACAGCTTGATTGCAAGTGTGATACTGCTTTCAACCCTTCAACTGTCACCCCCATTTTTGAACATAGATAGATGTGAAAGTGCACTATCCAAACTTAAATTGTTATAATTCATGAACGAATACATTTTGTAATATGATTTTGAAGTAGCCTAGCCTACCATCTCCATGGTAATGCAATGTCCGATTTTAAAATGGTTTTCACAGGATGTATTTTGAGGTTTTTATCTTTCAAATGATATATAACTTATGATGATTGTACTATATTTTTGAGGTGCACCCTTGTCATAAATTAATCTATTACTGTTCCTACAAAATTTGTAACAAAAACAGTGGTAAAATATCTATTTAGGAGTCTTTCCAACGATATATAGTTTGTCATGATTAGATTAGGATTTATTTGTAATATAGTGAAGTAAACTAGGCATCCTTCTGAGGGGACGGGTGACACTTCACTTTATTTTAAGGTGTCCTTATACAGTGTAATTATACATTTAAGTACTGAGTAATATTAATAAACTACATGTACTTACTAGGCTAGGGTTAGGATTAGGGTTTGTCTTAGGGTTACTAGCAATTAATTATGCAAAAAAAGTGGCTGTTTTGTAGCCTTCGATCTTCTCAGCCAATAAAAATTGTTCCAAAAGAAGCAAAGCATTGTTTGTCATCAAGAAACACAGACTTTAAGCAGGACTGGAAAAGCATATTTAAGTGGAGTGGAGCAAGATTTTCCATACCCACAACATTCTGTACTCACTTATATCCATTTCCCCCCAGTTCTTCACTAGTGAGAGAAACCCACATGCTCCAACTTTCAGGAAACCCACTCCTTGCTCCAGGCAAATTCACTCCACTTCCACTCTGCGCATGTTCTGGAACTCTGTGAACACTGAACATAGTAAAAAAAAATGTCTATGCTACATAACAGCACTGTGACTATTGGTCAAAAATAGGCCCAACACCAAGATGTGAGTTGATACTCTTTACAAAATGAACAAGTACAACCACTGTAGTGTAGTTATAAAGCACCTTCTTATAAACTTTAACAAGTTAAGAAAGAAAGAAAGAAAGAAAGAAAGAAAGAAAGAAAGGTACAGTTGCTTCAAAATGTGAACGTTTGAGAAATATTTTCAAGTAATGTTTACCACAGGCCCATTTTTACTCATAATGTGAAAAAACAACTAAATCTGTAGGAATGAGCAAAAAGTACATATATTCTGTTTTAAATATAAACGATTTCATGAATGCTATGTTTCTAAAGAGCGGCTAATTTTTCTACCGTTGCATTTCCTGGCCATAGCACGGGACTTTTATTTTAAAATCAGAGGCGCAATAACCCGGAAACAGAGGCTATGGTGTTTTGATATTTTTCACACGCTTGTGCTCTCTCACTTTCCAAACCTGCCAGCCCCACACAGGTGAGTTCTTCTTTCTTTAGTTGTTACTTAGAACAATCGAAGGCAGTTATTACAGACTTTTTACATTTGGTTGTAAACAGTTATTATACTGTAAGCTAGTAAACTGATGTTATGTTCTAGCGCTCTTCGGCCAATGAGCTGCATGTTTTGCTTTCATTTGTGATTTCATCATTGATATCAGAATCTCGCATTTAACATTTTAGCATGAAACACTATCAAGGCAGTAGATTTCCAGTATAATGTGTTTGGGTGTTGAGATGTTTTATCATTTGACAATGAACCTTTATTGTTTTATTCTGCCTGTTACATTTTTTTATTTTTTTAAAGTGAAAATAAAAACCACGGAAATGGTTAGTATAGCATTTAAAAATGATCTGCTTTCAGACTGTTGTCTCCAAACTGACTGTTTTGTTTGTAAAGCTGAAGGCAGTAGATGCTTGTTCTGGCTGAGGAGGAGGATGTTGCCTAGAGGTTACGTCTTTTCCCATAAAGATGGGCAATCTGATCATATATTCCAGCACATTCTACCTCACACCGTGTCCCAGCAACGGAGGATTGAAGCCCATCTGAATGTAACAAAGTGAGTGGATATTGTGCTTTTGAACTTGTGCATTATGTTCTGTGAATTCATTTGATTTTTTCATTTCTGTCTCCGTAGCTTCATTGGTCCACTGATGAATGTTCCTCGTTTGATTCCAACCTATCAGTGGACACCAGTGGAACAACCTGATGTTTCTTTCAGTCCAAATAACGTAAAAGGAAGCAACAGAAAGTGAGCAGCACACTGGCATCTTGAACACGTGACCACAAACCACTAGAATTCGTGTCACTAGTCTGTATTTCAATCAATGGGGTGTGTTAAGTTCTTTGCCTCAAACAAAATGTCATTTACTGTGCCAGGAGAAGGAGAGATAATCACAGTCAGAATGACCTGAAGAGACAGTGCTTCGGTTCTCCAGGACCTCACAACCAGCCTGCAAGAAATGCCATCTTTACCTCCCAACCGGCGACTGGACCAGGGTCAAGCAGAGAAATGTGTAATTCTTATTCCAGCGTCCCCACATGCTCATCTGCCGTCTCTAAGACTGGAGGCTGTGTGCCATCTTTGAGAGAGGGATCCCATCAGAGCTCCTTTCACCCATCATCAGTCAATGATAAGGTCAACATACAAATAAAAGCCAGGAATGCTGGCTGACTTGGTCACATGACCTTTATTTGATATACACACAAGTTAATGGCAAAGTGTTTATTTTTCAGTATTATATTTATTATTCTTCTGCCCACAGCTAAGTCAGCAGATTCTCAACCTATTTCATGCTTGTGAGCAACAGAATGATGATCTGGAGAAGAAGGAACAATGCCGAGCAGCACTGCAGAGGGACATCCAGACAATCTTACCACGTACATTACACTCATATTTACAGATATTATGACTGGGATCTTCTCTAGCCATAGTTTAAAAGAATAGTTCACCCAAAAATGAACATTTGCTGAGAATGTACTCCCCTTCAGGCCATCCAGGAGTTTGTTTCTTCATTGAAACAGATTTAGGGATATTTAGCATTATATCACTTGCTCAGCAAAGGATCCTCTGCAGTGAATGGGTGCCGTCAGAATGAGAGTCCAAACAGCTGATAAAAGCATCACAATAATGCACAAATAATTGACACAAATCCAGTCCATCAGTTGACATCTCAGGAAGCACCCATTCACTGCAGAGGATCCATTGCTGAGCGAGTGATGTAATGCTAAATTTCTCCAAATTGGTCCTGATGAGGAAACAAACTCATCTACGTCTTGAATGAGTACATTTTCAGCATTTTTTTTTATTTTTGGGTGAGCTAATCTTTTAATTTGCATTCTTCATGAACTTGTTCTAATATTTCAAACTTTGCTCTATTTTTGTTCAAGGTGCCCAAGTCTTCTTGGCCGGGTCGTCTCTAAATGGCTTTGGTAGTCGCAGCAGTGATGCAGATCTTTGCCTTGTCATTGAAGAGGGAACGGTAGGTGTGTTCTTGAGGAAAGATGCTTTTAGTTCTGTCCAAATAGTTTCTATACTAATTGTTCAGGCTTTGCTGTCTTAGGTATAACTCTGTACATACTCCTTTGCAGGTAAACCACAGAACAGATGCTGTGTATGTTCTTAGTCTTGTGCGGAAATTGTTTTACACACTGTGTAAGTGATTTGCCATACATACATCATTAAACATACAGCCGTTTCCCTGTAAACTTCTCTTTGTTTCATCCACTAATGGCATTACTGCTGTTTCACAGCTTACATTGAGAGGCCTCAGCTCATCAGAGCTAAAGTGCCCATTCTGAAATTCAGGGACAGAGTCAGGTAGGTCTTTTCAGTTTTTGTGTTGTATTTGCAGTCAGAAATAGGTGTGCCTACACTACCATTAAATTTTTTTTAAATAAGTTAACTTTTATTTAGAAAGGATGCATTAAATTGATCAAATGTGACAGTAAAGGCTTTTTATTTTTTTAAAGATAAGATTTTATAATTTCATTTCTTTTGTACGTTCTATTCATAATATATGTATTATAATCCCGAAAAACTGTATTACAGTGTCCATAAAAATAAGCAGCAACTGTTTCAGCATTTAAATAATAAGAAATGTTTGTTGAGCAGCAAATCAGCATATTACAATGATTAGAATTAAGACTGGAGTAATGGCTGCTGAAAATTCAGTTTTGCCATCATAGGAATAAATTACATTCAATTATATTAAAATGTTAATTATAATAATATTTAACAGTATTAGCATTTTTTTGCATATTTTGATCAAATAATGAAAACTATGTAATTTTGATACCTAGGTAAGTATAATTGACTTCTTTCTAAAATATTTTTAAAAAAATCTTACCAAACCCAAACCTTTGAACTAGTGAACTGTATTTAACCAGCACTGGCAGTGTGAATGTAGCAAGCATGAAAGTCATGAAAGGCAGTATCGTCTGAAAACAAAAGATCAATACATCAGCTAACCACAGTTTTTCTGGAATTCTTTTACATGGCAGTGGTGTGGAGTTTGACTTGAACTTTAACAACACTGTTGGTATCAGAAACACCTTCTTACTGCGGACATATGCCTATGGTAAGATCAGAAATGTTCAGAATTGTGTACCTAATTTAAATCTTTCTGAAAATGTTATTTATTAGTTTTTATATTCATTTCAGTTGAAAAACGTGTTCGTCCTATCATCCTTGTAATAAAGAAATGGGCCAGTCATCACCGCATCAATGATGCCAGCCGAGGAACACTGAGCAGCTACACGCTGGTTCTTATGGTCCTGCATTACCTTCAGAGTAAGTCATTTTTCTAACATTTGGATTAAGGTCTAACACACTAAACATTTGTAATTATCAGTGTTTGGACGGAGAGTGCAGTGAGTCTTAAAAAATATGCAAGCTTTAAAGCTTTCTTGTGCTTTTCTGCTTTTGTTGTTCTAAATGTTTGTTTCAAACTCGTATAGCTCTTCCTGAACCTGTCATTCCATGCCTTCAAATGGATTATCCAGTAAGCAAATTGCCTAATGAATAAATGAAACATAAAAATATGCTTTTTTAAGAATTGACTTCATGCTGCAACCATTTCTTTCAGGAGTGCTTCAACCCTAAGATGGACATTCATCTTGTGCCAAGTGGACCAAGCAATATTCTGGCTTTTGTGTCTAAAAACCAGTCATCCCTGGGAGACTTGCTCTTGGGTTTCCTGAAGTACTATGCCACTGTTTTCAAGTAAGTAACATTATTGATTTATGGCACAAATCATTGGAATTGATCAAACCTATATTTTAGGCAAAACAAGAAAACATTCTGAAATATTTTTATTCTAGGTCACTTCATTTTGTTATCTCTGAATTTGTAGTGCTATAACACATAACCCTCCTGTTGTGTTCCCATCTTTTTGACCTGCAGAGGTCAAAAGTTAATGCTAGTTAATGTTATCACATTGGACTAAAACCCACTAACTTTCCGCAAACAGGGTATAACAACTAAAAAATGTTGTTACATTTGTGGTGTTCAGTCAAAAATTGCATATATTATATTTCTTGTTATACTATATATTATTACTAAATATTGCATTCAGTCTTTTTACTGACTTTTTAATAACGATTTTGTATTTCTTTTTGGAACTGATTGATCGTAAGATTCAGTCTGAGCTTAACAATCTCAGGTTTTGAGTGAACAGGAAGCCTACGACCAGACAGTTCCAAAAAAGAAAAAAACCTACAAAACCTACAGTGTTTCCCATGCATTGATTTATTTGTGGCGGCCCACCACAATATCAACATTGACCACATTGACAAATAGATTTTCCTTTTCCCATTAAAATTTGATTTTACTTTTTAAAATGGTTCAAATCTTAATTCGGTGTAGAGCTGAAGTTGTCATGTTGACTGGCTTAGCACATCTCTCTCACATGACAGTGGACGAAAATCTAAAAATATCTAAAACTCAGTTACAGCGTTTCTATCTTTTTATTGGGCTACATCGATTGCTGGGTGCATTCGTCCATATTAGGGATTTCCTGGAACGTTCTATTTCCCTCCGGCGTCCAGTATGAATGATATATACATTACATGAGTGTACTCACTAATGCTCACACCACCCTGTTTTGGGTAAAAATAGGAAAAATAATACTTCTCTCTAAAGAAATTTGAAGTAAACTTATTCACAGCCATGTTTTTTTCTCCAGTGTTTTACCACCTCAAGAAGTTTTCATTAATGTAAAAATATACCTCATTGTCATGTTCTAGCCTTGTTATATTTATCTTTCAATAAAATCTAAATTTTTATGCCCTTAAAGTTGTGAGTATCGTATATCAATATTTTATTGTATCGGAGTTATAAATTACAGTAAATTCCTCCAGGGGCAGTGCCACCACAAATAGTGTGTAAATCTGTGGGAAACACTTACCTGTGCAAATTGAAAGAAAACAAGTTGACAAAAAGACTGAATCCAAGATTTGGTGATAATATAGCATAATGAAAGATTTGCAATGTTTTTTTTGTTTGTTTTTTTTTTCAAAAGTTTGGTCATTTTTGACAGCACAGCACAAGGGTAAATAATTGTCAATCAAATATGTAATGTTTGTATCCCAGTTTACACAACAAATTAGATTTACTTGTAATAGATAGGGGCCAGTGTTGCTAACAAAAACTAACCTAAATCTAAGCCACCTGCAAAGCTCCTGTTTCATGTCACTTTGCTAGACTGACAACAGCAGGTGAAATTCTGGCTTTGCATGTGGCCCTGGTCCAGATGGCCCGCTCTAATGCTCATAACACTCTAGATATGTGCATATGCTTCTTTGAATAAACAAGTCTGAATGCACTGAAAAGCATGTCTTTACAGTGAATTGTTATATTTCCACAGATGGGATAAGCATGTGATCTCTGTGCGTGAGGCAAAAACTCTCCCCAAGACCAGTTGCAGAGAATGGAGAGATAAGTTCATTTGTGTAGAAGGTAAACAGTCCCAAAGTCTTTGTACATCATGTACTGAAAGAGTACATAAGAATAACAGTTGTTTTTATTAAAGTTTATCAGTCTCCAAGAACTTGAATATTTATATTCTGTTTTAGAACCATTTGATCGTACAAACACAGCCAGAGCTGTTCATGAGAAGGTTAAGTTTGAAGCCATTAAAGCAGAATTCACAGAGGTAAGCCTCCTTAAATCGGTAATAAAAATATAAATGTTGAATTAATATTAAGATATAAATATCTTTTTTTTTTTTGTAAACTCCTGATGACTTGAGTAACTAAAATAAGCATCTCAGTGTGTTACAGTAATGATGTAATCTCTCTGCATTGTCTCTGGAATTTGTAGTTAGATTTGCAATACTATTCTGATCTTATTTATGAACAAGGTCAGCACTGAGTTTGTTTGGTAATGAGCTTTTATTGTTTATTTATTTTTATTGTTCATTTACAGTCCTACCAGGTTCTGCAGCTGAGAAAAGATCTCAACTTCATCCTGCCTCTCAAAAATACCAGACCAAAAAGATAGCATGACCCCAGATAAGAATAAACATACAGTTTGGATTAAACCTGGAGTCTTCGATTATACATTGTCAGAAGAAATACTTTACTCCTGTACAAAGGCCTTTTGGGTATACTGGACCTTTTGGAATGTGTTGAGCCAAATCCATTGAGCGGACTAGTATATTATCTGGTCCCTAGTCAGGAACATCAGTGTCTATGTTTGAGTTGTACATGAAACATCAGACACTGAGCAATATCTTTTGCCCATATGGTACACAGTCTGCATTCAGATAATGAATTAGCTGTCGCAAAAACATTTTCTCTGAGCATTTTTTGGGTTTATTTGCCAATATAATCCTTTTCTAGCTCACTGAAATCAAAGCAAAACAGTATGAAAAATATCCTGACAACTTTTCTGTGATCTATGTTTTCCTTAAAAACTCCAAATTGTAAAAAAAAAAAAAAAAAAAACTTTTTCTGGCAACTGACTACTTTTACCTGAACATTTTCAGTGATTACATTTCTATTGGTTTCTTATATTCTGTCGTGTTTTGTATAGTTTGTACAGTCTTTTAAATGTTTATTTATCTGATTAAAATGTCACTATGAAATTGTAATTTGCCTTTTGTCACTTGTTTGTTTTTAGTCTTTTAGTCTCTTTTACATGTTTTGTTGGTAATATGTTCTGTTAAATGCAAATAGAATGATAAAGCAATCTTTTGTGAAAGTGGTCAAACTTGGTACATTCCTTATTTTAAGGGAAATTCTTTAATATGATCAAATCGGGAATACATGTTTAATATGTTCAGAGAGTGCTCATGTGAATTGAGAACTTTTAAATTGGATCCATTTCTGCATGGCAGTAACACTTTCAACTGCTGGCAAATGTGTTTTGTTTTAATGTAGTACAGCATCCATTAATGGGTTGTTATTCTCGATTCATAATGTGAGTTTGAGGGTGTTAATATGGCTGTCTGGAAGGGACAGAGAGTAAAATTAGCCCAGTCAAAGAAAACTGACACTACGGTGGCCTGAGTCCTCGTGTCCCTCATGGACATGGCGGTGTTCTCTGCGTCTCATATTACAGGGGACACCGCCGCAGATTCGTCCCAACTTTACTGTTCAGGACATAATTAACGATGTCCTATTGTTTAAAATTTGAGAAGGAAATCAAATAAATGGGACAATATCCTTAACTGGGGTTACGAAAAACGGGGACACCTTTGACTCTTTCCCAAGTACGCAGCCTTGAGCTCAAGAATATTTGTAATCTATTTACAGCAGCCGCTGAGTAAGACAAACTGCGCTCAACGAGACATGATCCCAACGCGAAGCTGCACTCTCCAAGACTGGTTTTTATTTTAAAATAACACTACCATATTTCGATTTTCAAAATGGATCGTGCTTTGAAAGGGGAACGTGAGGGGGCAGAGCCAGAGATGGAGGAAATGCAAGACTTGGGGTCAGGAATAATGGATATCGACGACGAAGAGGAGATTGAGGAACTTCATAAAAGGTAGTTTCCCACGGGTGCTTTATAGTTAAAAAGTTTTACATAAAGGATCATTTCAGTTAGGTATGTTAAATATGATTGTGCTGGGTGATCTATAAACCCCCAAGGGCTGTTAAAAAAAAAAAAATATATATATATATATATATATAT